ACTCTTTCCATCAGTGCCAGAGTTCATAAAGGACAATCATGTTTGTTAAGACCGTGACTGTGAAGAGCAGCGATATTTGGTGTAAGTTTAAAGTTAAAAAATAGTCTGGAGGCTGCAACCCAATACTCAAACCCCGCGTGCAAGTGGGGAGTGACGCCAAGTGCAGCGCGTACGTGGTCAGGCTGATTCCTGAGTATAAAGAATTCAACTCTGAATTCTTCCATTTTTACTTAAAATCAAAGACAACTTTTGGGGTTTCCCATACAAGTTGATCATGCAACACTGGCACGTGAGCATGCATGATATTACATCTGGATAATCCATGACATGTCCCAAAATTCACATCTGATGTGGTCACAATGATATAAAGCATGCCATCTTCCACTTACCAATCCAAACTCTGCTGCCTCGCAGGTCCAGCATGCCAGCAGACAGATCACAGTTGAGACACAGTACAAAGGCATCATGGACTGTGTAGTGAGAATTCCCAAAGAGCAGGGATTCCTGTCTTTCTGGAGAGGCAACCTCGCTAACGTCATCAGATACTTCCCCACACAAGCCCTCAACTTTGCCTTCAAAAACAAGTACAAGAAGATCTTCCTTGGAGGAGTGGACAAGAATACCCAGTTCTGGCGTTACTTTGCCGGTAATCTGGCCTCTGGCGGTGCCGCCGGTGCCACCTCTCTGCGCTTCGTCTACCCTCTCGACTTCGCCAGAACAAGGCTTGCTGCTGATATCGGCAAAGGCGCAACGGAGAGAGTTCACTGGTCTTGGGAACTGCCTTGCCAAGATCTTCAAGTCTGATGGTATTAAGGGTCTCTACCTTGGCTTCAATGTGTCTGTCCAGGGCATTATTATCTACAGCTTACTTTGGTGTCTACGATACAGCTAAAGGTAAGCAACTAATCGGAAACATCTGATGTGGATAAAATAAATCGCTTGTCAAAAACAACTCAATGACATTGCCCGACTCTATCACTCAGGTATGCTCCCAGACCCCAAGATCACGCACATTGTCATCAGCTGGATGATCGCCCAGACTGTCACAGCTGTTGCCGGTATCATTTCATATCCCTTCGACACTGTCAGACGTCGTATGATGATGCAGTCTGGACGCAAAGGAGGTAGGCCAAAGGATCGTGCAATTTTTATGGATGATAATAAAAGCTGTTTGATGATGTGTCAAACGCATATTTTTCTTTCCAAAAGCTGACATTATGTACAAGGGCACAGTCGACTGTTGGAGAAAGATCACCAAGGATGAAGGTCCCAAAGCTTTCTTCAAGGGTGCCTGGTCCAATGTGCTCAGAGGCATGGGCGGCGCTTTTGTGCTGGTCCTGTACAACGAGATCAAGAAGTACACATAAACATTCTCCATCCATCGTGTCCATCCCACCAAAGGAAACCCTGAGCGCTGTGTATGTCTTAATTGTGTAGAGTGTTAACAACCAGGGAGAGTAGGGGAAGTGTACTTAGCCAAACTGACCCAGGGGTGGACTGAGATCATGTGATCATCGGTGGCCACTGCACCCTCCACCCCTACATGTGTAAATATATTTAAGTCTACCTACTGCCCCTCAGTTTTAGCTGACTTTCCGTCTGGTCCGGTTCAATTTTTTTCTAGACTACATGTTCTACAGTGGCTCCTCTCTTCTGTAGCAAGCTGAACATTTATTTCCGGACTGAAGCAAGTGGCTGTACACTGGAAAGCTGACTGTTCTTGTGGTGTATTCCACCTTATGTGTTCTTTTAATAAGAACAAAGCTGAAAATACAACTTCTGCTTGGTGCTTTCCTGTGTTGGTAATGGACTCATATTGGCCTCATAGTTTAAATTAATTCACTAACATTTAAGCACATTTTAATGCATAGAATAAAGAATAATTGTGG